GCACTGGTAATGCTGCGGCAGGGTCCCACGGGTGCAGCCGCGATGGACTCCGATCGGAAGCTATAAAACTCTTTCTCCTTGCAGCACTTTCCCTCTCTACGCGGGCAGCACATGAGAGGACTGCATTTCATTAGTGTGATGCACCTGGTGCGGCCTGGTGCGAGCTGACCCCCACCCCAACTCCGCCTCCCTCCTCCCTTTTAGCCTTCACGACCCCTCCGCGGGGTCCCCGCGCGGGCGGCTTCATAGGACGGATCATGTAGGCGCACAGAGCCGACGACGCCCAAGCACCACGAGGACCACGTCGATGCCGGCCCGGCGGCGTCGTCGACTCGGCGCCATCGCCGCGAAGCTCCTCCTGACCCCTGACCGACGCCCGGCCGCCATATAAGGGTGCGGGGGAGCAACGCGAGACGACCCCCTCCCCTTCCTCGATGCCGTCATCCCGACCAGCGCAGCCCCCCTCCCAGCCCCCTACGCTCTCCCCCGGCCGCGACGCCTTCTTTTTCCCCCGCTTCTCGAGTCCGCCGCGCCGGGGCCGCGTCCGGGATATGAGGGCGGCGCTCACGGGCACCGCCACGCTCGCTCACTCTCGCTCACTCGCACGTCAGCAGCAGTGGCGGCAGCAGCAGCATCCTGTAGGAGCCAGCCGGGACAGGCCCCCGGGGGGCCTCCCCTTCCCCAAACCTCCCCACCTCCTCGGCAATGACAATCAGCTGCTCTGAAGTCACGTCGATGTGGATCGCGGGGTCGACCACTCAGATTTTTTGGTGTACATGGAATATCTGGAATACTTTTGGAATATCGGGAAATTTAAGTGAAATATCTGGAATACTCTTTGAATAGCTGGAATGCGCTGGAATGTTTTTGGAATAGTTTTAGTGTGTACATGGCACATCCAAGTGGTCCACCCCCAGATGTGGATTCAGACTCGTTTCTATACTCTGAGCGGCGTGGACGCATGATGATGGGAAACAGACACGCAGATGTGCGCCGAGTTGTCGCTTTATTTACAACACCCGCTCCGCCCTCGTCAGCCCGACGGCGGCGCGCTCCGCCTCGCTACCTCACGAGCAGCATCAGCCCGACGGGGGCGAGCACGGACAGCACCAGGAAGCCCGTGGCGCTGGAGGTGCCCGAGGTGCCCGGCTTGTCGCCGTTGGCCTCGAGGAGGAACTCGTAGAGCGGCGCAAAGTACTCGAGCAGCGCCTTCCCGTTCATCTCGGTGCCGTTCGTCATGACGAGCAGCGTGTCCTTCCAGTGCACGGACGCGCCCAGCGATAGACCGGCCCTGCGGAACAAGACAGTGGTACATTCGCAGGCGCACTTTAGGACGGGGGGGGGGGTTGCTAACGTCTCTAGTGAGCCGCTTGAAAGGAATGCGATTTGCGTTAGATAACCCCGTGTATGTTGGCAACCGACAGTGCGTCACCCCCTGTCAGCCGGGGCCTTTAACAACCGCGCCTGTACTTTTGCGTGACTGACGTCGACGTGTCGGTTATCTCCGGTTGTCCGGTGTGCAGCTCGCCGCCAATCGATAAGACGCGCGAGTGCAGCAGCCAGGAGGAGGAAACGCGTCCCTAAGCCCCCCCCCCCCACTCCCGACGCCATTGTAGACGTACGCGAGCTTGGCGCCCGCCGCCTTGCTCTCGAAGAAGTCGCACGCGTGCAGCGGCTCGCTCTTCGGGTCGTCTGGCGTGTATTGGCCGGCCTCGATGCACAGCGCGCGGTAGAACTGGAACTGCAGGATGTTGGCCAGGAAGTACCTGAGGAAGGCAGGAAGAGAGAGATACATATCCTTCATGCTGAGAGGGAGAGAGAGAGAGAGAGAGAGAGCGACCAGTGCTGTGCACACGTCCCCGACTTACGAGATGTACTTGGAGTCGGCGGGGACGTGGTACTTGGCGCCGGGGTCGAAGTCATCTTCGGAGCGGGTTACAGGCGGGCTCACCAGCTGGTACTTGGCCTTGAGGTCCCACCAGTGCTTGTTCCACTCAGACTCCTTCACCCGGCCGGCGAACACGTCCCAGCGCCACAGGTCCACCAGTAGCCCGAACGGTAAGAACGCCACCTGCAAGCCGCAACATGACCGTCAATTATTGATTTATTTTCGATTTGTTTCCAGTCTTATTTGTGGTTGTCAAATTTGAGCTCTTTCCTTTTCCAGCGCCATCTTCATGAGAGCGTTAATGCGGCTCTCTTTGGTGTCGTCGTAGCCCGTGAGCAGCTTCACCGTCTCGAGGTGTTTGGGGGTGTCCACCGAGAGGGCGATGGTGTCACCGATGGCCTCGTGGAAGCCTAACGTGAGAGAACCCACGGACGACTTTCACAAACCCTTTTCAACCACCCGACTGTGGTACGTCCGCCTTTATGTACTACGAACCCGGGTTGGCGCCGTCCCGCAGCACGTAGGGAAGGTGCGCGTACTGCTGGTAGTACTGAATGTGGCCCATCTCGTGGTGGATGGTGCGGAAGTCGTCCTGGTTGATCTTGGTGCACATCTTTATCCGGAAGTCCTGTCCGTCGCAGAAGTCCCAGGCCGAGGCGTGGCACGTCACCTCCCTGCCCACGGGCTTTTCGATCATGGCCTTTGGCCCGTAGCACATCTCGTTGGAGAGCAGGCCCATGGACTGGTAGAAGTCGTCGGCGTACTTGAACATCTTCTTGGCGTCGAATGCCTGCGAGCAGACAGAAGAGAGAGCAGGTTTAGTGCGGCGTCGCAGTGCAGCGACTGCCCATTGGCCTGTATCGGAGTGTGCGGGCGCACCTGCTGCCGGAGCGCGTTGGTCACGTCGTAGGAGGAGGCGTTGGGGTACGGCTTTAGCAGATCGTACAAGTTGATCCAAGTCTGGCCCCACATGTTGCCTAAAATAACAAAAATGAAAAACAATGGTGGTAAACGTCGACTACGCGTGCAGGTGGAGACTCCCATTCGCACGCTATTTCTGAGGGAGATGAGACGAGACGCCCGTGAGCAGGGTAGCAGGGCCCTCCTTCAGCTCAGACGCACCGAGTATGTGGCCCGGGATCAGCGTGTCGTTCGCTCCGATATGGTCCGGGTAGCGCCCGCGCAGCTTGTTCAGGGTGTACTTGTGCAGCGCGGCGTACAGGGGCTGCACCTCGGCCCACAGCTCATCGATGGTTTTCTGGAACTCGTCTACTTCGTACGTCCCCTGCCACATCGCGCCCATGTCGGCGAAACCGTTGGCCGTGGCGGCCTTGTTGGACAGCGCCACGTACTCCTTGTAGTCGCTGCGCATCTTCTTGCCCGAGGCGTCGTGCCACGCCTTCCAGATGTACGTCAGCTCGTCGTAGTCCTGGCTGGTCGTGATGATCTCCTCGACGCCGGGGTCGAGGTCCAGGCCCTCAGTCTCCAGGGCGCACTGCTGATTCGTGTAGGGGCACACCTTGGCCGTGCCGTACGTGGTCTGCATGCTATTCAGGTGCGTGTTGAGCTGCTGGAACTCCTCGTCCGACAGCGCCGCCGTGCCCAACGACTGGAGGAAATGAACCTGCCGTCGGAGCTGGCTGTCCTTGATCTTGGACGCGTCCAGGTCCTTGAAGTATACTTCCCAAGACTTCCTCGTGAAGCTGGCCATGGCCGAAGTGGCCGCATTCTGGGGGAGGAAGCTCAAGTAGTGAGTCCGAAGGACGTCCGCCTCTTGTGGGCGCCCGGGAGGTGGGCAACCCATTACTCAACTCCACGGCAGCGCCAGCGCGCCCTTTCAACTCACTTTTTTGGCTGTGGTGTCGGGGTTGAGGAGGTCTACATTGTAGTTCCAGTCGGCCTCGTTGACCTTGTTACAGTGGTAGGTGGCTTGCTGCTCGTACTCGGCCGCGAGGTACTGCCTCAGTTTGAGCTCCGTGATGGCCGCGTCCTTGCCCACGGACGCGGTGGCGTTGGGCGCGGACCTCGCGGGCCTCGCGGACACGACGGAGACGCGGCCCAGGCGGTCCACGCCACCACGAAGACATCGCGCCGTCGCACCCCCGATGCACAGCACAGCTAGGAGGACGACAGCCACCCTCATCCTGCAATAGAGTCAGGGACCGCGGCGCGCGCGCCCTTCTTAATAGCAACAGAGCGACGCCTTTAAGGAAATCGTTGCAAAAGTAAACCACTCACCTCGCGTCGCTCCTCGACTCGTTGCGGTATGGAGTGGTCCGTCCGAATAAGCGAGCCCCGGCTGTTATCTCTCGCAGGACTAGTGTTGATTACATACCAACTACCTTTCGTCAGCTTATCGCCGGCGGCCGTCTCTCCCCGACCCAGAGATACTGAATACGCTGAACCGTTTAGCACTTGCCGTGCCCGGCGCGACT